AAAGGGAAAAGAGGGGGAAGAGGGGGTGGGATGGGGAGAAAGAGAAAATGAGGGGAGAAAGTGAGGTAGGGGAGGAGGAGGGGGAGAAAGTGAGGCGGAGGAGAGGTGAGGGGGAAGGAGAGGAGGGTGAGTGAGAGAGAAAAGGAGGGGGGAGAATGAGGGAGCGAGGCAGAAGAGGAGGGAGCGAGCGAGCCAGCGATGTGGAGAGCTCTGGGTAGGTGGGTGAGGGAGGGAGCCAGCTCGGGGGAGAGATTGAGAGGAGTGGGTGGGATTCGAAGAGTGTGTTTTCGCCCCCCCCCCTTCAGCCTTCCTCTCCCACTCAGACTCTCTCTCTTTTTTTTTTGGTTGGTTCCCTCCCTGCTGTTAGTCGTGCGCCTGCAGCTGGTGAAAAGCGCCTGCCTGAGCTGAGGAGGGCGGCTGGTGGCGGCGGCGGTGTTGGTGCTGCTCCTGCTTTCGCGCTCTCATTCTCTCTTCCTCGTTTACGAGGCTGTCTGGGCGCGCTGCCGGCTAGACTCCTTTCAGGCAGGAGTTGCTCGCTGAGCCGCTCTTCTCTCTCTCTCTCTCTTCCTTTTTTTTTAATTTCCTTCACACTTCTTCTCCCCCGCCCCCCCCTCCTCAATCCTCTTTCCTTCGCGCGCGCACAGAGTGTGTGTGAGAGGGAGAGACTGAACGAACTCTGGCGGCTCGTGGCTCCGGCGGTTGCAGCCGAAGGCGCCTCGCGCTCTCTTTGCCTTGCCTCACCCGCTGACACCCCTCAGAATCCAAACAGTGGGAACGGGAGAGTTGTGGGGAGGGGGGGGAGCAGCAGAGAGAGAGAGAGAGGGTGTGAGGAAAGGGGAGGGGAGCGAGGCTGGTGCAAAATACATGTATAGGTCGGCCTTCCACAGAAGGATGGGAATGTGAACCAATCAGGGGGCATGGAGGCGAAACTCGGATTTGGAGGATCGAGCCAATCAGAACGGAACTTCAGAAGAGCCCCCCCCTTCCCCAAAAAGAGTAAGGGGGTGTCACTTCACTGGCACAAACGGATCGCGCCTGCCGTGTGGCTGGAGTAAAAGCTCCTTGAGGAAGAATGCCCTCGCCACAACGCTCGTGTAAATAAACAGGGCTGCTTCCACTGGGAGGGAAGGAGGGGGTACAAGCAGGCACTCCGTACAGTACTTCTCTTCGCTCCAGGGGGCCCAATCCTCCCTGCTGCTTCCTAAGAAAGGAAACGCAAGCCGTGAGAAACGTAGCAGAGCATATGCTTATACTTCTCTCTGGGCAACCCAGTGGAGAGAAACCCGCACAGGTAAAGGCAGCGAGCTGGCTGCCCGCACTTTCACTTCTCCCTTCACCTTTTCCAGCGGGCGGAGTAGAAATTGGGCCAAAAGGAGCCCCATCCTCCCCGCTTCCCAGTCCACAGCCCAGTACCGTAGTTGCAAATGTGACAGACAGGAACTTACTAGGCAGGTCCCTGGGGAGAGTCCCAAAATACAGCAGTTGTTTTGATCCACATCAACAAGTCAGTTGCAACAGTTTTCAGCTCCTCTGGCAGCAGGTCTGCCCTAAAAACTTCTAAGTGTCAGTAGAAAAAGAAAAGTGTCCGAATAATGATGGAAAGCAGGAACTTAGCTTTCTGTCCTTGTGGGACATACAAAGCATGCCTTAGGCTGGAAGGCAACACTGGTGCATCTGGAATGTACTGTGATCCTGTAGTGTATTGTCTGGGACACTTTTGCTCCATTTTTCACCAGAAAAGACCGTCCAAAACAACTTTGATTCATTGCAAGAGAACAATTTTAAATTTCAGATTCTTGGATGAGCAGGGGTGGGGGGGTGGAGTTCAGGATACTCTGTCTATACATGTACAAAGACTTGCAAGTGTTTCTGTAATTCACCTTGTATTTCTAATGTTTGGTAACATCACTGCAAAATAAAGCAATGTTCTTTTCGTATTTTGAATGAATCTTCTAAGATTAACTGTGAGGAATTAGAAAGTTATAAATTAAAGCTAATTTAGAAAGTAAACTCCTAGTTACAAATTAAAGTCAACTCGTAAAAATTAGTCAGCTGTTATTGGGTGGATTTTCATTTAGCTGACAGGCCTGGTAAGGTGATTGTACCAGGCTTTTGGTATTCTATTTTATTTTGTAATTAGTACCAAAAGAACATGTAAAACCTGGAAGAAAGGTTAAAGGAAATTAGTGATTTAACTGAACCTAATTCTTCATAAACATTTGTCAAAATCACCAAGTTAATCTGAACATTCCCCGTAACTTCTTGAAAATCACTTATTCGTCTCCATATTTGAAAGTGGTCAAGGGCTCAGTGGTTTTTACAATCATTCCTGTTCCAAGGTCTTCCAAATGATCACAAATCAATATATCTCGCCAAGTATACACAGTAGAAAGGAGTAATGGCAGATTTGGAACAGAAAATAGTGGTCAGCAAAATGTTATGTTTTTATTCTTAGATTACAGCAGTACCCCTGTATCCATGTTCTTGTTTAGTCAAGTCGTGTCCAACTCTTTGTGACCCCATGGACCGGAGCACGCCAGGCCCTCCTGTCTTCCACTGCCTTCCGGAGTTGGGTCAAATTCATGTTGGTAGCTTCAATGACACTGTCCAAACATCTATTCCTCTATTGTCCCCTTCTCCTCTTGCCTTCACATTTTCCCAGCATCAGGGGCTTTTCCAGGAAGTCTTCTCTTCTCATGAGATGGCCAAAGTATTGGAGACTGAGCTTTAGGATCCGCCCTTCCAATGAGCACTCAGGGTTGATTTCTTTCAGAATGGACAGGTTTCTTTGCAGTCCAGGGGGACTCTCAAGAGTCTCCTCCAACACCACAATTCAAAAGCATCAATTTTTCGGCAGTCAGCCTTCTTTATGGTCCAGCTCTCACTTCCATACATCGCTACTGGAAAAACCATAGCTTTGACTATGCGGACCTTTGTTGGCAAGGTGATGTCTCTGCTTTTTAAGATGCTGTGTAGGTTTGTCATCGCTTTCCTCCCAAGAAGCAGGAATTTTTTTTAATTTTATGGCTGCTATCACCATCTCCAGTGATCATGGAGCCCAAGAAGTTAAAATCTGTCACTGCCTCCATATCTTCCCCTTCTGTTTGCCAGAAGGTGATGGGACCAGTGGCCATGATCATTTTTTTGATGTTGAGCTTCAGACCATTTTTTATGTTCTCCTCGTTCACCCTCATTACGAGGTTCTTTAATTCCTTCTCAGTTTCTGCCATCAGTGGTGTCATCTGCATATCTGAGATTGTTGATATTTCTTTCGGCAATCTTAATTCCGGATTGGGATTCATCCAGTCCTGCCTTTCGCATGATAAATTCTGCATAGAAGTTAAATAAGCAGGGAGACAATATACAGCCTTGTCAAACTCCTTTCCCAATTTTGAACCAATCAGTTGTTCCATATCCAGTTCTAACTGTTGTTTCCTGTCCCACATATAGATTTATCAGGAGATATAGATAAGGTGGTCAGGCACTCCCATTTCTTTAAGAACTTGCCATAGTTTCCTTTCACTTCCAGGCACATCCGCAGCTGGGCGTCCTTATGGCTTTGGCCCAACCACTTCATTAGCTCTGAAGCTATTTGTACTTGTCCTCTGCTCTTCCTCAGTAGCATGTTGGGCGTCTTCTGACCTGAGGCGCTCATCTTCCAGCATCATTCTGTCCATGGAGTTTTCTTGGCCAAGATACTGGAGTGGCTTGGCAGTTCCTCCTCCAGGTGGATCGCGTTTAGTCAGAACTCTCCACTATGACCTGTCCCTGTTGGGTGTCCCTGCACGGAATAGCCCATAGCTCCTCTGAATTACTCAACCCCCTTTGGCACGACAAGGCAGCAATCCATGAAAGGTTATCCATGGGGGCTGGTAACTGTTTCCAGAATCTACTGGGAATGCCTGTAACTGTCGATACAAGGGAACCTTATATACAACATACAAGGGGGCTCCCTTCTGTGGAACCCGAGCCTCGGGTCAAGAAGTGCTGATAGGAGTGCCGTCCCACCCCAAGGTGACTGTAGGCACTCAGACTGCTCCACGTCCCTTCCCTCCCAAGTTGATACATCAATCTGTCGACACCACCGACTTGGAAAAGAGATTGAAAGGGTTATCCGTGGCGACCCAGACTACACTGGTTTTGGCGGGAAAGGAGGAGAGGGGGAAATATATAGCGGAGGCAGGAGCCGGGGAGATAGAGGGTACTCGGGATATCATCCCAGTGGATGGGAACTGGTATGGATGCAGGACCCACGGACTGGGAAGTGGGAGCAGGTTAGAGTGCCAAAAACCAGAGAAAGAAAGGACTGCCCCAGCGCTCATCATACTGGGGAGAGACCAAGACCCGCGAGTGGTGGCGTGAGCTGAAGGAAGAGAAAGAAGCATTGGAGAGAGAACGTGAGGCGAAAAGGGCATGGCATATGGAGGAGCTGAGAAAGATGGGGTGCTTCCTGGGCCCTGAGACACCCGGTTTGGTGAAGGATCTACATTCTGGGGATGGAGTGGGGATGAGGAGACCACCCCTCTATTAATCCCAGATCCTGATGAAGGGGTGCCCACAGAACCCGAAAGGGTTCAGGCTGGTCCATGGGCCCCAAAGCTAAACAATCTGTTTGAAAGAGAAGATTGGTTGCCCTTTTCGAAGCCGTTGCTCCCTCAGGAGAAGTTTGTTCCCAGTTTTTTGGACATTTCTGTACCAATGCCTACATTAATAAATGAAGAAACATTTGTTGCTTTAAAGATGCCTCATGATTTATTTGGAACGGGGGAGGTTAAGACTGGTGAACCCTCACACCTTCAATGTACTAAATAAGATTGGCGTGTGAAACTGGAAATTGATCCTGAAGATACAGTGGTCCTACTCTGTTACCATATTCTTATCATAATATGTTCCATTTTAATTTTTTGTGCTTCAGTCACCTAATCGTTTACATTGGCTTTCATGGAACACCTTGCAATAGTCCTTGTAACATATTCCACTGTTTTTCCTTCTCTTGTCATAGGAGATATGTCCAATGCTTTTAGATCAGTTGTTTATTAATGCATTAACTCAGTATTATATGTCATTCATTTTTCTTCTTGTAGTTATTTGTGTGACACTTAAATGTACCTATTGTGTTGCCCATACACTCCACCCCATGTTCTTGACTTTCTGTTCAAATGGTTCTGTTCAAAGCCTCTAATACTGATCAAGACACAGGAGGGAAGGAAGAAGGGACAAAGTGGAATATAAAAACATTCAGAAGAAAGGAGATTTTGCATATTCATATCTTTTATTCTTCTCCCTCTCTCCCCTATCTCTCTTGTCTGATCAATAATTATTTTATACCATTTCAGACAAACTGTTGTTGTTTTCGTGCCATCAGGCTACTTCCAATGTATAGTGACCCTATGAATGAAAGACCTCCAGAAGATCATGTCATTAACAGCGTACCATTTGTTTTTAATTTTTATGAATTGTATATTTTAAGCAATATATAATAATAAATACTTATATTGACAGAGTGACACCTAAATCAGTGGTTCCTGTCCCCAAGGAATGTACAATTTAAAATTAGGCACAGGAAGTACTACAGAACTAGGAAGGAGAGATGGAGGGAAATGTGAACAGGAGGTGTGTTCCATTCAGTTGAAAATACAGTTCAAATACATGCAGTTATATATGCCTATATGAAGATTCCTGAAGCTGAGGCTCCAATACTTTGGCCATCTCATTAGAAGAGAAGACTCCCTGGAAAAGACCGTGATGTTGCGAAAGTGTGAAGGCAAGAGGAGAAGGGGACGACAGAGGATGAGATGGTTGGACAGTGTCATCGAAGCTACCAACATGAATTTGACCAAGCTCCGGGAGGCAGTGGAAGACAGGAGGGCCTGGCGTGCTCTGGTCCATGAGGTCACGAAGAGTCAGACACGACTTAATGACTAAAGAACAAAACATATGTACATATGAATAGTATCTATACCCTTTCAAATAATGAGGATTATCAGTAAATTAAATTCTCTTACATACCCCAGGGAATTTTCATAGAATCATAGGCTGTTTGAGTTGGAAGGGATCTAATAAGGCCATTGAGTCCCAATCCCCTGCTCAATGCAGTAGTCTAGATCAAAGCAGATCTAACAGATGGTTGTCCAATTTTCTCTTGAATGCCTTTAAGCATTTACCACCTCCCGAGGTAACTGGTTCCATTTTCATACTGCTCTAACAGTTAAGAAGTTTTTCCTGATAATCAGCCTAAATCTGGCTTCTCGTAGCTTCGTCCCATCATCATGTGTCCTGCACTCTGAGATCATAGAGAACAGATCCTGCCCCTCCTCTGTATGACTGCCTTTCAAGTATTTGAAAAGTGCTGTCTCCCCTCAATTTTCTGTTCTCAAGGCTTTTCTGCTAAGGCTCAAAATCTTGTTGTCACCCACTTTCCTGTTACCCACTTGGAGGCTGATTTACAGCTGTTTAAAATGTAACCATTATGAAAATGCCAAGCCAACTACTAGACCATGAGGGCATATGGGTGACATGTCATTCCACTGCCAGCTTGTCTCCAACCCTCAGGAAATAAATCCCTCAAACCCCACCTCATGCATAAGAATAGATGAATAATATTAATTGAGTGTATGCTATTGGGTTGCAGTTATAGCAGAGAAGCTGTGTATAAGTTTTTTGACTTTTTAAAGTTTCATGTTTCTTTAAGTTTTTTGTCTCATCTTTGCTTTATAAGGAAGTCAAGACCACGAACAATAGAAATGTTAGAATGATTCAATAGATGAAACAGAATAAATGAAAACCCAATTAACCATGAATTAGTTAATCTGCAAAAATAACCTGGTCTTAGCAGCTGCACACTGCACAAACATCAATACAATAAGCGATTGCCACTACTATTTTTGTTTTTAAAAAATATGTCCAGTTTCTGCCAAACAGCAATATGAAAACAATCTACACAAACTTTATTGGGCTACAAGTGAGAAGGCTGTGTTTTGTGTAGTGACTAGATAAGGGGGTATTTGTATACAATATCCGCACACAGCTGGACTTAATGAGGCACGTGTTTGACAGTGGCCTCACTCATCCTTCCAATCATTCCCGGAGCTCAGCTCTCGGCTAGCCACTCTAGGCAGGGGGAGGGAGGACGAGTCTACCTGCACAGCTGCCAAGTGGCCAGCCAAGCGGGAATAGAGTGGAGCTCCAAGAGTGATTGGAAGGATGAGCGAGACTGCCACCACCGGACACGTGAGTGAATGGACCCTTGTTAAGTCCAGCTGCACAGGGATAGTCATATACAAATACAAATAACCCCCCATCTCTAGTAATGACCTGCTATTTATTTATTCACATTTTAATTTTATCTTTTTCCAAAGAGTGAAAGAAGCAATGGAACTGTGAAGTAGCTTAATGTGAGAGATACTGGCTTTCCCAAAGTGGCCAAAGAGCTTCATGCCTGAGTGGAGATTTGAACTCAGTTTCTGCATTCCAAGTCCAGCAAGTCACCAACTACACCACACTGGCTCTTGGGCAACGAGGTATGGAACAAGTTCTTTCTATTAATACTGACTGTCTTCAAAAATATGACACCTTTGAGAATGACAAATTGATTGTGTGGATTTTGGGTTATTATTGTTGTTGTGGATTTTGCAATTCACTCCTTCAGACACATTGGGCAAAATCCTGCTGGAACAGTTATGCTGGTGTAAACCAGGTCCAAGTGCCACAAATAATTAATTTAAATGAATTGTAAGGTTCTATTCCCCCCTTCAGGTTCTGACACCCTGCTCTGCAGAAGCCTTTTGGGAGCCTCAAGGAATGGGTGAGAGGAGCCATGGATACCCTGTTTCCCCCCAAAATAAGAGCTAACCTGAAAATAAGCCCTTGTATGATTTTTCAGGATGCTCGTAATATAAGCCCAACCCCCAAAACAAGCCCCAGTCAAGTGAAAGCCCGCCATCCACCAGGGACTCATTGTACTTCCCTCCAGTCAATTAAGTCTTTCTCTCTCCTTTTTTCTTTGCTATTCCATCTTGGTAATCCTCTCTTTAAATTAATTGTTTTAAATTGAAATTTGTAATTTTATGATTTTATATATTTTTATACTGTTTTGTTTTATTTTGTAAGCCGCCCCGAGTAGACATGGTCTAGAGGGGCGGGGTAAAAATCAAATAAATAAATAAATACAGCAACCATAAGTAGATGATATGACTATATTTGAATAAATGTACAGGATATTGTTGTACTGTACATGAAAAAAATAAAACATCCCTTGAAATGCATTTTTGGAGGAAAAATTAATATAAGATCATGTCTTACTTTCAGGGAAACACGGTAGTACAAAAAACAATGGAGCCATATCATTCCGCCCAGAGACCTTTGGGTAGAGTGGGCACCATATAAGTTAAATAAATTAATTAATTAAATAAATTCCTGGCAGCAGTGATCTGAAAACAGAGCCCTAGGAACTCTTGGAACCTTAAAGGGGAAGGGGAGATGGGAAACTTTCAGTTAATGTAAATTCATTATTTCTGGCACCCAGATCCAGTTTATGTCCATTATGTATAATATTGGGCCACAGCTTTATACTGTATACATATGCATGGTATGTGTATTGAACCAGGTAAAACGACAACTACATTCTTAACAGTGGTACTGAGCTTTCAAGATTTATTTATTTATTTATTGAATTTGTACCCCGCCCATTTAGTCTACTGTTGATCATATTATTATGCTTGTAAAAAAAAAAACTTCAGTTTTTAAGATATGAGTTTTAGAATGGCTACTGTGCAAACTGATATGAGGGAAGATGCCTCTTAAGGTAAGTGGTTCTCTGGTCAGTCATAGCATAAAAGTGTATGTCTGGCCATATAATTAAATTAAGTCAAGTTTCATGATACTTCTCAAGCACATCTCTTGTACACCATTTTAAAATACTTTACTTACTTTACTTTACTTTTATTAGACTTTTACCCCGCCCTCCTAGACAAAGTCTACTTGGGGCAGCTTACATAAATAGTGATCTGAAAGTCACCTAGTATGAATGATCTTTTCCAGATCATTTACAATGCCACTCCTGCTTGCCACCATCTGAGGTTCTCAAAGTATAGTAATACCGATTCTGAACCTTTTTCTGCCTCATAGAGTTGACAACCAGCCAGTCATCAATGCTACAGATGTGCATCTACAGTCTTTCTTTATTGTTATAATATTCATCATCCATACCTTTGCAATTAAATAAACATTTTTATTATTATTTGTAGAGCTTCTGGCAGGCAGCCGAAACTCTTCTCTTGTCAGGTCTGTAGCTTTTAAATATATTGTTTAAAAACTGCTGTTTAGTCTTTTTTTTTTAAAGTTTCATTTCTACTTTTTTACAGTGATTTTATTGTACATTGTTTTGCATACATAGATGATCAGAAAAGCAGTTTATAGCTATATTGAATGAATGAAATAGTAGCCTATAGTTTGTCTATATTTAGTTGGGCATAGTCCCAGGGACGTTTGCATCATATGCATTGGGAATAAACCCTATGAGACACAAAGGGAACGTTGTGGAGCTAAGTTAAGATTCGGTCAGTAACTTCTTTATCCATGAATTCTTGTCCACTTTCTAGAACTGTCAGGACCTTTACCATTATTTGCTGAAAGTCTTTACAATTTCTACTTCTTTGACCAGTTTACATAATGACTCGGAGTAGGGTAAAGAAAATGGTATCCAGCTGATTCACCAATGGAGTACTCAAACAAGTAATGAATTTTGTGTTTTAAAGCCATATTCCCTCAAAAACAGAACATTAGATTGCACAGAATATGAATATCCAGCACAGCAAGAAAAAAAAATCACTGCAGTGTTAATAAAATAAAAGCTCCTTTTACAAAGAAGTTGAGAAGATCTATCAAGTAATTCTCCAGTGTTCACTTAAACATAAACAGCCTTTGCCGTGGTTCTATTTTTACTTTTGCCAGTAGAGATAGATCTTGTTGGGTAAACATGTCTGTTGTTCTCCTTTTAAACTCTGTTTATTTCTGCCAACAGTTCAGGTCGAGTGAAGTATTCTAGTGAGAATCCATGCAGATGAATCATCTGAATGATTTTCTAAATCTAAGTAGGTGACCCAGAACAAGTAATGTATAAATATTCCTGGAAACAAATGCTAGCGAGTTTCTAAGTTGTAGTGTTTGTAATTTTTGACAAATAATAAGCAGAAAACCCTACTATTCAGTTGTCCAATTGCCCAATTTATGAAGATTGTTTTCAAACTCTTCAGCCTCATTGAGATTTTACCATCCTAAAATATTTCTTTCATCTCTGGCTCTTCCTCCTTTTATAATGCATAAAGGGGCTTGTGTGAGTCTACCAATTAAATCTGTGATTAAGAGCAAGATGTTTGTGTGAATATTGAAAGTAAAAGCGAGAAAACCTGGACAAGCTCCTGAGAGTTTACAGCAAGTTTCCTAGATTACAGTGAGAATCTTTTACTTTCTGTTCTGTAACTATTCTAGTGCTATATTGTACAGCAGAGAAAGACCTGGCGGGGGAGGATGTCTTTTAACATCTCCTAAGTGATAAATTCTTCTGCAAGTACCCTCAAGGAAACATGGTATGAGAAGGAAACATGGTATCGTACTATGCACGTCGTGCAAGTACCCTCAAGGAAACATGGTATCGTACTATGCACGTCTTACAGGGCCAGCCAAAGGTCTGCTGCTGGAGCTGTGAAAACCTCCATAACACAACTGATGCTGCATTTCCTCTCTCTGTGTGTGTCCTCTAGTCACCCTCATTTTACACCATGCTGGGAGACAAAACACTGATAGCACCTCTGCCCTCCAACCACTGCATGCAAAGGACAAAGGGAAGGTAGAGGGGGAGGTTACTATGGCAGTGCCATGCCCTCCTACAGGAAAAGAGGAAGGCATAAGTAGCATCAGAGTGGCCTCCATTCCTCTGTTTCTAGAGATCTTCACTCCAAGGGACCAGACATGATAGGAGGGGCACCTGAATAAATTGCCTAGGCTGTGTGTGGTGCAGACAGTTTTTCAGGGTACCGTTCCCATCACATCTTCGCTCCAAAAGATCTGCTTAGAGCCTCCTGTGGATAGAAGGTTCTCCAACTATGGCCATGGCAGCTTTCCAGAGCAGCAGAGGCCCAGAAGTAAGAGAGTAGCAAATTTGCTATTCCATGTTCTGCTCTGCCACACAAAGTAACTGCCCTCTTGGGCTTAATAGGAACGGCCAACTCTGACATTTTGAGAAATCACTTCAGACTATAGAACTGTGATTCACAAATTTAATTTTTATTGGTCGTGCTGGATAGGATTGCTGGCACTTCTAGGCCAACAACATCTGGAGGACCAGAGTTGTCAGTCCCTACTTTAACTTCAGGAAGTTAAAGTTTCTGCGCTATTATCTCTTATATGTGTGTGTGTGTTCAGTCGTTTAGTCGTGTCCGACTCCTCGTGACCCCATGGACCAGAGCACGCCAGGCCCTCCTATCCTCCACCGCCTCCCGGAGTTGTGTCAAATTCATGTTGGTTGCTTCGATGACACGGTCCAACCATCTCATCCTCGGTCGTCCCCTTCTCCTCTTGCCTTCACACTTTCCCAACATCAAAGTCTTTTCCAAGGAGTCTTCTGTTCTCATGAGATGGCCAAAGTACTGGAGCCTCAGCTTCAGGATCTGTCCTTCCAATGAGCACTCGGGGTTGATTTCCTTTAGAATTGATAGGTTTGTTCTCTTTGCAGTCCAGGGAGCTCTCAAGAGTCTCCTCCAGCACCACAATTCAAAGGCATCAATGCTTCGGC